CAAACAAAGGACAATCTAATAAAGAGATAAATACTTTTGTAGCAGTTTGAAAGGTTGGTAGTAAACTGGTAAAGCTTATTTGGTTTGGGACTTTAGTAAGGTCAAATAAGACAAAGCCAATAATGCAAGGGCCGACCTAAGCTTTAGATATAAAAAAGTGGGCATGTTGCTAACCTTTTTCACACTCAAACTACACTGACACTTTATCTTTATATCATTTCAACCAACCAAAACAATCCACCTCTCCCCCTCTCCTTCTAAATAATTGTAAATCATTTTATCATTCTCTATTAACAAATCTGTAGCCTTAATTAGACTTGCCTTCTTATCATTAATAGTTAAATAGAAAAGCCACTTGATTACCTTGGGAGGCCCACTAGTCCTTCCAAAGCAATAAAGTTAGATTCCTTTTCTTTTACTTGTTTTGTTCTGACATATCTCGATTTTGGACTTTTCTTAGTTTATTTTCTTTGTTTATGCCATTATTATATGCTGTAGTAATTAAGATAGTGGTTTTAATTATTTGTGAGATAATTAGCAAGTTAGTATCTTTTAATTATTGGTATTGAGATTATTATGTTTGTATATTTTAGTCACTTGTACCATAGTTATAAAGTTAATAGTTTAACTGCGTGTATACTGTAAATATTAATGTAATATCTTTTAACTATTTGTGTTATATTTATTAAGTTAACCTCTATTATTATCCATTAGTCTGGATATCGAGTCGTTTTCTTTTATTATTTATGCTATGGTAGTTAATCGAGTTGATTTCACCAACTATTTGTTACATTACTGTTATCAAGTTCAAATATACATATGTGCAGGTTTATGTATATGTATACATATTGTGTGTGTGTGTGTGAGAGAGAGAGTTTTTTTAAGCACTTTAAAAAAATAAAGGAGTTCTCCTAAAAAAAAGAGAGAAAAACTAAAAAAAAAAAGGAGAGAAAAGATTTAAAAAAAAAACAGAGAGAAGTTTCAAAAAAAAGGAGAAAAAAAAATAGAGAGTGTCTATGCATTTTGTACATTTCTTTTGCCACTCTGTCACCATCAGAATACCAATGTATAACATTTTGATCCCTAAAACTTCGAGAGACCGATTTTGAAGCATGCGGTGCAACAAAATGACTATATATACACGCTTTTCTTAGCGTGATGGATGGAAATGTGTCGCTACGAAACATGTAATCACCTAAAATCTCTTTTTCAGCATTTGTGTCGCATTGGAAAACTGCCTATACACATCTTTCTTAGTGTGGTGGGATCGATGGAAACCCAGTGCGATGTGTACGGTGAAGTGGGGATACATATAAGTCCTCGCTCGTGGGGAAATGACTGCATTTTTCTAAGCAGGCACTCGTAAAAGACTCATACACATTTTTCTTAGCGTGATGGGGGAACGAAGAAAATACGGTCGCGATGTCTTAGGACACCTACCATATATGATTTTCTTAGTGTGGTGGAAAATGTTCAGTTTCTCGTAGTTTCCCCAAAATGGGGGAGACGTTGGGAGGCTGCCGAAATTTTGACTGATGATTCATGGACTTGGAAAAAAAGAAGAGGACCTGAACTAGAACTCGAACTTAAATTGAACTTCATTGGACTAAAATAACTTAAAGTGAATCCAAACTTAGAATGAATTTCGACTTGAAGAAAATGATAATAAAATGAGCTTGAACTTGGACTTAATTTGAACATCAAATGAACATGATTTGAACAATTTGGATACAAGCAAGGACTTGGAAATTGGCTACAAAAGAACTCGAATTCAAATTTGGGTAGTGGACAAATTTTATGAATTTGACTTGACCAATCAACAATGAATTGAATGCAAGCTTGAACCAAATGCGAAGGACTCGAACCTGAATAAATGAACATAAGCAATTGAGCCCTTGATGAATGCATAAGTGAAATGCAAATAAATACATATGAATTTTGTGAACCAAGGGATTTGAAAGTATCACTCACTTAATAATAGAGAGGACACCATATAATTTTCAATGAATTATATAATTTGCATATTAACAACGATGATTATCATGTGACATTCATTCCAATCATGCAGTTGCATAGTACAAAAAACATCACAATGACTACATCAAGTGACCAACAAAGTTGGGGATTCACAGTAAACAAAGATTTTATTGCACATAATTAATGTCATTCGACTCCAAACACTACTTGTCTACAAACTAAAATCAAATAGCCAATGCAAGTGAATATAGAAACCTACTAGCCAACTTGCATAGAGAAATTTGTGGTGACTGTAATATACTCAGCAGTCAGTGCTAGTTTGCAAATGATAATACTCGTTTGCTCAAAGATGATAATATTATATGCAAACATGTATAAACATCATGCAATAAACACTACGGCACTCCTACAATCATCAACCATCTAATGGAAGCTAGATACATCTTCCCATATATAAATGAAGATATACAACATGCAAAAAATGCAGATACTCATGGGCACCTATGGGAGATTCACCATACAGACAAAATGTCATTTTTGAATAAAATGATAGATGACTATAGCAAATGTAAATACCTACATGCCACTGAAAAAGACTTGTCATACATTCAATATGTTGTCAATGGACAAATATGAAAGAAACTACGATGGGTGTAAGTATCTACAACTAAAAGTAGGAGATTTGATAGTTCACTATAATCCCCCTACAAAAAACAACAAGTAGTGCATGACAGTCTACCTATACAATGCAGCAAACAACTTTATCTAGAAGATACTGCACCTCACCATGAGATCCGCAACATCCATGCAAGGGGACAGAAGGCATTTATAAATATTTTAAAATACCTCTGCACGTGCACCTTAGTTTGTATAGACATATGTACACAAAGGGATAAGTACAATTATAAACACACGTATGAGCCATGGCGAGCATGTTATAAATATACAAGTGACATATAGGGATACTATGTAGATCAATAAATAAGTCCAAGTTTGAGCCCAATCCTCCTGTGCGGGCAGACAGGAGTCGATAAGGCTCAAATCCTTAAATAAATATACGATCGTGAGATCGATTAAGATATTTATTTTAATACATTCATATTACGCCTTCAAGGCCTTCAACAAAGAAAATTCACCATTAAATACAAAAAAGCCTATGACGAAATCAGATCCTCTGTCAATAACTTAACAGAGTTGACAAGATTCAATCCATAAATGAAAGTAACTTCAAACACCTCGATGATGGCCGTGTTGAATGCAGATCTCAACCAGATGGGTTAATTTCAAATATCTAAATGCCTTCTAAAGGTTACCCAAATATCAAAAAATCCAAAATCCAAAATTCAAAAATATTTAAAATTGAAATTCAATCATCTAAATACTTAAAGCAAAACTTATTCATTCTCCGCAAAAGTTTGTCGATGTTGATAAATTAAAATTTATTTTAGCTCACATGGAGCTAACGCCTAGTCGAAAATATCATTAGGATATATTCTTAAATAATATCCTACCAGTAATGATATGTACATGTCCTCTAACCAGCAGTTTTGCCGCCAAATAGCACCGTATGATAAACGGTTATGACTCGAGGCTATCTGAACCGAGTGGTTTTACAGCTAAATAGCACCATGAAATTCCGGTTATAGACATAGTCGATACGTTCCTTAGTGACATCAAATCCTTAAGATATGAATAAATAGATATGATTTATAGGGCACAAAGCCCTTTGTTAGCTAAGGTGGATTCAAATTTATCCCCTTAGACAAACATCCACCATAGGTCTATAAGGTCCCCTTGGATGAAGCAACCCTTGGTTGTGGGTTGCTGATATGGATCCTTATGTCAGGTTGGGTCGACTACCTCCTCTGACTAAGTAGACCATGGACCATGGTGGCCCGGGATGACGGAACCATGGGATCTTGATTGGGTCTATCATCCATTTCCCCGCCATCCGCTTTAAGTAAAAGATGGTGAAATTTTTATTTTTAAATATCAATTATCAAACCCTACCTAAGTCTAAGCTGCTACTATACGCCTGATAATATGTATCTACTAATAAAATATATTTGATTGACGACTAGGCTTAATCAAAAGTTCTCCCTCGTTACCGGGAGGGTTAATTAACTATAGGGGCTTGTGCCTATTGAAAAGTAGAACTCAAATTATAAAGTCATCGTAAAATGAGGGAGAAATCTCTGGGTAGTGTCTTATCTACAAGTTCATTTGCCTTCCAAAATTTATCCTGGAACTTATTCCGTTAAAACTCCCCTGAAAGAAAAAGCAATAGCGGGCGGAGGCCGGGGTCGAATTTTCGAAGCCCGCAGTTCTTCATCAGAACTGAATTCAAACTCAAACACCTCTGATTGTGGCATAAACATCAAGTATATATTTATCATCGTCAAAATTAAATTATTAATTAATCTTTAAGATCATGAGACTAACATCTAGATAATTAAAAATCTAGTCTGAATGGTGGCTAGAAATGAACATACTTGACTAGAGCCTGAATCACATAGACATTTTGCACCTATTATCTCTATTTAGTTTATGTTTCTTATAGTTATATTTTATTTTTCAAACTATTTATTGAAAATTTTATTTTTTTGATAATCTATTATTATAAACAAAGCTTATTGTGTATATATAATCATTATAATTTGCCTAATGAGAACATCAAATCAAATTTTTTAAAATAGCTAATTTCTTAAAGAACCTATCCCTCATTCACTCTCAAATCTCTATTCATTCTCACAAACTTTATTGTTTGAAATAACAAATATCAAGTTTATAACTTGATCAAACATATATTAGCTACCCATCTGACATTAAAACCCTGAGACATGCCCCGCAATTAATATAGATAAATTTTAAATTTACTAAAGTTATTTAAGATTAAGATTTTTTTTGTGGTAGCTTTCTTATCACTTTTAAAATAATCTTCTAATTAAAAAAAAAATTAGTTCTAAAATTTTTTTTACTAAAAAGCTGAAAGTATTTAAAAAGTTTTCTTAAATGAAGCCAAGTACAACATAGGATAATTAAGTACAATACTTATTCTGTCTCGGCAAAGTTACTCTCTAACCTTAGGGAGTGAAGCACAACAAGTGGCCAACAAACAAAGAGGTGACTGCCTCCTCATTGCAATTCCAAAAGCTTCGCTCATGTCAAGCTCCTCTCCATTCTTAGCTGGATTCTCCCAATCAAAATAGTACAGTAAATGTGCGAGAGCCATCTCAACTGTTGCCAATCCGAAATGCATACCTGGGCAAATTCTCCTCCCAGCACCAAAAGGTATCATCTCAAAGTGAGCTCCCTTCATGTCAATATTGTTCTCCTCAAATCTCTCCGGCCGAAAGACCTCCGGTTCTTCCCAGTATTTAGGATCCCTTCCTATAGCCCACGCGTTCACCATCACTGTTGTCCTTGCAGGAATTTCATAGCCCATCACCTCGCACCTCTCTTTATTCTCCCTTGGTAGCAGCAAGGGCACCGGAGTGTGCAGCCTTAGCGTCTCCTTTATCACGAGTTGTAAGTAGCTAAGTTTGCCACTAATCAACTTCTCGTCTCCTATGATCTTTCTCATGTCGTTGCCGAACGCCTCTCTCACTTCCTTTTGTGCCTTCTTCATGATGTGTGGGTTGCAAACCAACTCTGAAATTGCCCACTCTAAGGTAGTCGCCGTCGTTTCGCTTCCAGCCATGAGCATATCCTAATGAAACGGTGAACCTTATTAGTTAAGCAATATATAATTTGTGATGAAGTAATTATTGTGAGCAAGCCTACGTTAATGACGGCCTTGATGTGATCGTTGGAGAGAGGGATTTGGAGGCTGCCATCCCGTTGGATTCTGAGGAGAACGTCGGTGAGATCCTCCTCTTCCATGGAATCTTTTGCACTGTTCACATTGTGTTCTTGAACAATTTTTTCCAGTATTCCGTCCAACTTCAACCAGCATCGCTCCAGCTTCTGTGGAAAACCAGCGATGCGGGCGATGAATTTGGGCATCGAGGGGAATAGATCGATCAATGAGAAGCCCGAAAGCAACTCTAAGACTTCATTGATTGTTGATAGGAAGGCCTTCTGGTCCTCGCATCGTCCGCCGACAACAGAGATTGCCATGATGTTGTTGGTGAGGTTGGCAAACTCGCTGCGTAGGTTGATGAGGGCGCCGTCGGAGGCTGCTGCGTTAATAGATTGGATGAGATAAGAGATCTCCTTCTCTCTTATGGCACGAAAACAGTGGACGCGCTTCGAGCTTAGCAGTTCATTGATGCAGAGTCGACGCATCTGGCGCCAGAACTCCCCATATGAAGCAAAGACTAAGTTTTTTCCGCCGTAGAGGAGAGCATCTATGGTGGGGGTGATGGGGCGCGAGGCGAAGATGATGTCGTGGGTTTGCATGATCTCTTTGGCGGCTTTGGGCGAGGAGATGACGATGGCGCCGATCTCACCTAGTTTGAGGCGCATGATAGGGCCGTAGACGGCGGAGAGGTCACGGAGGGCTCGGTGGGGAGGACGGCGGCCCAGAAGATGGTGAATACTGCCGATGATGGGGAGGTTTTTGGGGCCTGGGGCTTGTTTGCTCGATTGGAGTTGGTGCTGATTGAGTTTTTTGATGATTGATTTGATGAGGATGAATGTTAAGAAAAGGAAGATGAAAGTAAAGAGAAGCTGCATGCTTGCGACTATGACTTAGCTACTGTTCTTTGATCTTTGAGTGTTCTGAAACTTTCCCTTGAGTGGAAATATTTATAGGGTGCTCGAAATTAATAAAAGGGCATTTACATGCAAAATACTTTATTTCATACAATTTATATATCTAATATTTAAAATTTTAATATTACATGTCTATCATACATAAAATAAATATGGGTGCATTGAATGAAATACTAAAGTTCATAGGATGGTATGGGTGGTAAGAATGAATTGAAATATATGAGTGTTATATTTGATATTAAAATTTTATATAAATTGTGAGAATATGATATTAAAGTTTTTGGTGTTAGAGATGTAAATAGCATAAAATAAATCGGTATGTATGTAAATCCCCTAATAAATTAACATATAAAGTTTTGAAATTTTGAATTCTTATATTTGGATTTTTAAAAAAATAAAATAAACATGGTGGTTAATTTAAATTAAGAATAGGAGCTGAATATTAAAAAAAATAAAAAAAATGCAAATTACTAAAACAGAGTGACACATTCTAAAGAATGCACCAAATGATTTGGTTCATTCACCCTAGTTAGTCCGATTCATCCCAATCAGCCGAATTAAATTCTAAAATTATTGTAGCAATGCACCGAACAGTTTGACACATTCAATGGAATGCGCCAATTAGAATGATGGATTACATTGAATGCGTCAAATTGTTTAGCTTATTATAAATACACCAAATAATTTGATGCATTCAATAGAATGCATTATTCTTTTTGGTTAGTTTGCTTCTTTTTAAAATTTGTTAATATTCAGCTCCTATTCTTTATTTAAATTAAACATCATGCTCCTTTAAAAAAAAATCCCTTATATTTTATGTTATGTGGAAATTATTTTTAAGTGTGAAAACAAAGTTGATAAATTAAACTTTTAGTTGTAATAAGCAATAAAGTTTATAGATAAGCATTAAGTATTTTGTGTTAAGCAATTTGTCATATTGAAGAAAATCACTTATATTTGAGCTGTAAAGTTTTGAATGTTTCATACAATGAGTTATAACAAACCTTTCTATCGCATATTGAAATCATTGCTTTTGATATAATGAGTTGATTTACACAACCAATCAAAACTATTAGTAGCACAAATATTTAAACCAACTCTAAGCTAGGTGATAAGTTTGTGAGCAGCTAACCTGACCACTAGAAGCAATATTATATCAGATTTAGAGCCATTTGGCTTGATATCGGCTCAAAACCGAGTTGTGGCTCGAATTGATTCGGGTTCGTGCTGGCTAGAATTTGAATCAAAATGACTTAAAATTAATTATTTTTCCCTTTTCTTAAATTTCAAAATGTTAAATATGAATATGCATGTATATATAATTATCATACACATATACTTGAACACATATAAACATATCATTAGTGGTGTCAAAACGGGTCAACGGCTTGAGTTCGGGTCTAATCCGGATTGACCCAAGGTTAAACGGGTTGACCCTAACCAGGCCTGTTTTGGCAAACGGGCTGGAAAATCCAACCCGGACCTGACCCGCGCAGGTTGCTGGGTAGAACGGACTTGACCCGCGCAGGTTGCTGGGTAGACCGGACTTGACCCAACCTGTGTAATCAGGCACGAACCGCATGAATGCTTCGGTCGAGCGAGGTGGGCTAGCGGGTGTGCTGTAACGTGACGCGATGTGGCCGCGTGACAATGGTGACCATACATTGAACATTCGAATGTGAGGCTGCGTGGTCATGACGGCATGACACCTGACTTAGGCGATTGCGCGAATGCCGTGTGAGGACAGCGACAACGGTTTCACAAAGCCACGAATGTCGCGTGACGCGATGGCCACATGCTCGAGTGCGAATGCGAGGCAGGTGGTCATTCAGATCAATCTCGGTTCAATTTCGGGTTATCGGGTTCCCGACCCGTTTTTTAAATTGGTCAAAAATTGAAACTCAAACCCAACCCGTTCGTTAAACGGGTCGACCCTAACCCAATTTTTTCACGTCGGCTTATTGGTTCGTGTCAATAATTTACACCCATACATATCATTTATATTTCGAATTAATTTTAAGCTGGCTTGTTATCATCCAGGGCCCAACTTGAAATCAGCTCAAAATCAGACGAGTCAAAAATTTGGCTCATGACTAGCTCATTTGGCCAGGTTATACCCATCGAAACATAAATAATTTAATATTTGAGCAATCTTCCATTTTCAAATTAAAATTTTAGCCCTACCCAACACCACTATCAATTATAATTAGCCAATTGTGCTCTACATTCACCTTATCATCAACTCAATAAGCATCTTTATAAATTTCTTACTATAATAGTTAAATAGGAAAAAAATGTAAGAAAAACTATGTATATAATATTCATTCAATCTTATCACAATACGGTCTTAAAATGAATAATATCAATCGTCATATCAAAAGATATAATAACTATTTAACTTTGTTGGGCGTCATCACATCAATTATTTTGCCAAAATAAATCCTCATATCAAAAGATATACTAATAAATTTAATATCGTTGAGATCATAAAATTTTTACGTAATCACGTATGAATTTTGGCATCAAAGTATATATAGATGTTAGAGCACTAAAAAAATTGATACAACATCAAAATTGAAAAAAGAATAAATTTAATTGTTCATGCAAGAACTTTCTATCGTCATATTTGATCTTGAATTTTGCTTTAGATTTTATTTGATATAATTTTCTTATAATTTTTTACTGTAACTTTTGTAGTATAAATTTTATTTGAAAATAAAGAAGAAATAGTGGTCAAAATCTGTCTCAAACGAAGCCTTAGATGTTATCGGTTCTCACTATAACTTAACTATAATCTTATGCTCACCTTAGCCATTTTCCTCTAAACCTATATTGCAACCTCACTTATACCAACCTCCCATAGAATTACAGATTAACTGGGCAATATTAGAATAATATATCCAAAATAGGAGCTAAACTATGCAAGATTAATGGAGCAAGATATTATAAGATTTATAGGTCTTTAAGAATCAGAAATATCCTAAAATTTTTATATTTTTAAAAATTGAGATAAGCATGCAGAACTTCATTTGTAGATCTTCATATAGTTTCGCCACTTAAGCTAGCAGTATCCATACAAATTAGTTTGCCATATCACTTATGCTACTTCATCAATATTTCCATGCTAATGGCAACGCATACAAACATCTAATCATTAGTAAAAGGGGAGAAATTAATATTAGATGTCTACTGAAAGGTTAGACTCATCACTCAACTCTAAGTCATTTCTGGCATCCTGAATCTAAAGATTGTTGAAAAGAGCAAGGAATGGTTGATGAAGCTAATGCCCATCTAAGTAGCAGCTCCTGATCATCAGAAGCATCTAGGAGAAGAAGAAAAAAAAGAGGGGAGGGGAGGGGCACCGAATCACTCATTAAAACAGAAGGATAGTATACTTATGTAATCTATAATGCAAAATTTTCTAACTAGCTCAAGAAGTACCTTAAATGAGTTCTTGGGACATCTTCTCAAGAGCAGCCTTGACTTAAACAACCCTTAATTCTTCTCGAGAGACCCTCAACTAAACTACTACTCATTCACTCTCAGGAACACAAAGAATTATTACGTGCAGGTTCGGATTCATCCGGAGACCAATAAAAATGCGTCACATTGCCCCAAAAAATATATCGTACTCGGTACCGGAACCAGACGATTCTACCGTGTCCAGGTACACCTTGAGCCATTTTGAAAAATTCAACCCGCACTCCTACAGTCATTTATGATATAAAAAAGATGGCAAAATGACAAATAAAAAAAACATTAACTATGTTGTGCAGTCCAATATGGGTACAGGAAACTTGCAAGGATAGCAAGTCCAATATGGGTACGGAAAACTTGCAAGGATAGCTGTCTGTTAGGATTTAAAGGAGACGAAAAAAATAATAATTTCATCGTCTCCGAAAGATATGTCAAATCATCGAAAAGAATTATATGAAGCGTACTTGAATCCATTGAAATACAGAATTGGGGTTTTCGATCTTTTACGTTTGAAACGACGTTCTCCAAGAGAGCAAGTGACCTCTTCTTTTCACTCAAGATAGGAAATGAGGGGAATGATAAATTCACCGCTTAAATTGGGGACCATGACCCTTTTATACTTCAAATTTATTTAATTTTATTTCAGCCCATCATTAAAATAAAATAAATACTTGGCCTCTATACAAATAATTAATTCCATACAAATTTAAATGAGATGCCACATAAGTCAAATAATAATTTAATTCTTAAATAGATCACGAATTTAATTGTCTCAATTTTAGATAGCGTCTAATGTATAATACTTTATTTTTATGTATAAATATATATGCACGCATATAGAAATTTCCCAATAGTGTCCACACTAGAGAAGTTCTCTCGAGAGGTGTAATTAGGCCAAAACATGCTCCGCCCTTGTGGGCCAATCTCAATATTATCCAATAAAGGAGGGCACTCACTATAGAGGAGCTCGACCAAGAAAACACATCCCATGTAAGTTTGATTAGAACTCCTCTTAGTAGGCCTCGATCCTAAGAGTTACTCACCTCATAAGAATATAACTAAAAAGAAGAATTATCTCATCCAAGATGACTCGCCCTTCAGAGGCCCCTTTATATAAATTACAAAAGATGCACATCTACCAAATCTAAGACAATTAACTCATCAAACATGCATGTCCCCATCTTAAGAGACTCACTCATAGCACTCGATACATGCCACGTATCTGATTGATGACTAGCCTTAATCGAAAGTTATCTCTTGTTATCATGAGGGTTAATTAACTATAGGGATTGTACCTATAGGAAATCAGAACTCAGATCTAAAGTCCTCACAAAATGAGGGCGAAATCTCTGGGTAGTGACTTATTTCAAACCCAATATGCCTTCTAAAAATTTGTCTCGGAACTTAATTTGTTAAAACTCTCCTAAAAGAGGGGAGGCCATGGCGTGAATTTTTGGAGCCCATTGGATTTTACTTTTATTAGATATACATGTTGACT